TTTCTCATAAAATAAACATATTTTAAAGAGTGTTTTGAATTTCACTGCATAATTTCTAGCCAACAGAAATGACAGTGGTATCTTCAAGGTTTGAGATATGTCAGATCAATAGCCAATGTGCAAACCTAGCAAGACTGCAAGGGGCTATACCTTCCCTCTGCTTAGCCCCCTACCACTGCCACAGGGAGAAAACCTCCTATAGATGCTCCCTGGGGAAACGCACACTGCTAAACTTTGGGTTTGTTTAATAACGAAAGTATTCTTTCTGATAAAATAGAAAGTAAACTGAATTTTTCGTGAGAAAAACAAAATGTTCATTAAAATAATCTGAACAAGAGTTTTTCCACAAAGGGAGAGTTTTACATCTGCATAATAACAAATTGTTTCCAAGCCTGAGCTTGAAATGAAAATGCCCCATCACAACAGATTGTAAATTTTTTCCTGTGCTTTTAAAAGTGCCTCCATCATTTCTACGGCTTCCCTGCTAAAGTATTTTGCTATTTTATTTAAACAATTTTTGAAAAATGAACATTCTGAGGCTTTGCAGCATTATTAAGAAAAGCTGTCCATACTTTCCCATGTTGTTGAATGTGTTTATCTGCTGATTATAAAATGTGTTAAACAGTATTTTAGAAACAACAAAAATGCAGCGCTGCGCTTTGATTAATTCAGTGAACAAAGCATATGCTGCTGGTTCTGTCCCATGAAAGTCGGGCATGATCAATAAAATCTTGCAAAGAGCAACTCTGGCGTTTAGTAGTACACTGCCGACCGTGATTTTTGTCCCACGTAGCTCCCTTCTGACTGTGATGCTGTGCCTGCTGTGCTCTTGTCCCCTCTCTGTCATCTCTGCAGGTTGGAGGCTGTGTACTGTGGCTGCTACCCACTCTGTCCCAAAGACTTGGTTTATCCTGAAATATTTCCAGGTAGCTACTTTCATGTGCTTTTTCTTTGTTGTGATTTAATACAGGATCCATGCTAAACTAAAAGTTTGAAAATAAACTTGAGTAGGAGCAATTGTTTATTTGGCAAGTCAACATGTTAGTGTTAAGGAAAAATTTATATGTTTTAATACATTAGAGTAAGCTTATATTTACCATCTGTTCTTTTAAGATAACAAAAAAAGCAAGTTTTCAAATAGCATTCTTCATTGTTAGCATACACATCTCATAATGACGAATTTTTATAAGCAGGTCAGTACTGCTGCAATTGCTAACAGATTTTTTTTTTAATGATACGTACAGAGAAAATTCAAGGATTGAAAGTCATACCAAATTCTTTAAACAATTGACTAGTTAATAATATGCAACTGTTGTACAGAGTGCATCCAGCTATAGTACTGGTTCTCTGAAAAATTCTCATCACTAAATATATCACATATGCATTGTGCTACATTAGAATAATGTATTTTAATCACCCAGAGGAGATGTCTAAACAGCACAACTACACAGTCTTATTTAGCATTAAACATCCTTGTGAGCTGAGGTAACCTTATAAAATCATGCTTAAATAATGTAAAACACGAGGCGGCACAGAGCAATATGCATTTTTAATTAGTAAAGTGACTAATATCGAGTGTGTGCTTTGAGGTTTTTGTTTCATTAAAAATGTATCTGTTTTTCCTGCAGCTGAGTATCTGTATTCCACACCTGAACAGCTTTCAAAGAGGCTCCAGAGTTTCTGCAGGAGACCAGATATTATAAGAAAACATCTTTATAAGGTAGCTATTGAAAAGAAATTTACGTGATAGAAATGCCACATTTAAATACAAAGAAATTTTTTTTTTAAAAAAAAGCATCTAATTAACATACTAATGTTTAAAGGAAACATGCTAGGGAGGGTATTGGTTGTTACACTAACAAGGATTAATTAAACTGGATGCCAGTTGTATTAACCTAGGTCTTAGGAAATACGTGCACTTCATGCACAGTACATGGTTTCTTTTTAATTTATTGTTTTCTAAGATGACTGTCCTGTACATTTAGTCCCAAGAGGCTTATAAAAATGAACCTGGATTAATGTAACTCATTAGTTGAAAAGGAAGTAAAGGGAAGATTCCACAATTATACTAATAAGGATAAGCCTTTCTTCCCATCATAATGAAATCCTAAGTGCTCAGAAATTTAAGTGAAGTTTGCTGCTGATTGAACTACACACATAAAGACAACTTTCAAAAGTTTTATTCCCCCACCCCACAGTCTATTCCAAATGGACATACAAAATTCTTAGTATGTTTAGAGCCAGATCCATGGGACTCAGCTCAAAATGTCAAAGCAAATGGTTTATATAAATAGCACCACCGTCCTCACCTCCTCTTCCCTTACCTGAATCAAACATCTTAAATTACAGAAATAGCACAAAAGGCCCCTGCTGAAAATGTAAGTAGCTAACATGGGATCTGCTCTCTGGGCTCCAGAGGTGGCGCTAGGCCATGAGTAATTCACCCCCTTGTGTCCTTTGACTATAGTGTCTTCATTTTATTAAGGTTTACAATCTAGCACTTTTATAGTACAGAATCTTTTCATTTTCTATGTTAATATATAGCCTTCAGCATGAAATACACTCCTCTGCCTTTTTTTTTATTCAAGGCCTAAAATACATATTTACATGTTGATACTTGAAAACATGACTTTATTTCTCCAGGAAACAGTTAAACCTCAACAAAAAAGGAAGAGAACCAAAAATGCAATTTAACACCCAATTTCAAGCTCATTATCTTTCATTGTCTATTAACTTGGCAATGGTTCAGAAGGTAGCTCGTAATGGTTTAAAATGCTGACTGAACAGTTCCAGGCTTCAGTGTCTCTCGCAGAGCCGAGAACTGTTGTATCATGCATGTGAAGCCTCGCAAAGAGTGTGGGCCTCCAAGGCTCACTCCACCATTCCCTCAGTCCAGCGCTCAGTAGCGCTCTCGTTCACGTCCACCTTGCATCAGTCAGCCCCCCATGTGATAGGCAGGCAGAGCATGCAGGCTACGAAGTTAAGGAAATAGAAGTTTTGGTACAAGTGGATTCTATATTTGTGATGTGAACCTATTTCATTGTTTCCACAGGTAAAATATCAACTCTTTGTTGTATTTGGAAATTTGGATGAAGTGTTTACAAATCTATTATGCCATCAAAATTTATTTGTTTTAATGTTGGTTCAGGTCAAGTTCTTAGCCCTATTACACTACATCTGAGTCTTCAACTCTTTCACCAGGCCTGCAACAGTTGTCTGTAGTTAGAAAAAAACAGATTTCTAGCTGACCTTTGTCAATAGAATTACTACCCTTCTGAGATATAATGTTTATTTGACAAATAAATGGAAAACTTCTAAAAGAATGTTAGCTTGTTGTATGATGTTAATATACAAAATTCTTCACATACTTAAAAATGGCTCATAACTAAACTGCTACGTTTTAACTCTCAGATAACTTTAGTTTTTACATGATAAACCTTGCAACTCAATGTTTTATAAATTAGTATTCTATAAGAATTTACATGTATATTTTAAGTACTTTTGCAATGGATTTTTTTATTTTAAATCAGTGATATGTTTTAATATATGTCCTCATTGGTAAATGTTAGTGATGTTGTATTTAAAAATTATTCTCAAAATTTAAAGAAATTTTTCTAAAATTACAAGAAACCAAGAGCATTAAAACAAATGGCCACCTATCATGAGGTGCTGGATTAAAACCCCTAGGAATGGACTCAAGTCTGGTTTGTTATACTAAAACAGGTCAAACTAGCAAGAATAAATGTGTCCAAAAGGCATGAAAAGCATAAGCTACAGTCATGTCTGCAGTTCTGTGTTGTTCCTGCCCCAGTCTCAGGTGGCATCTGCTCTCCTGAGCAGATAATGGAGCCGTGCTTCCCTCCAGGACAGCTGTTAACTTATGCAATGGGAAGGGTCCTTCGTGTGTTTGGAAAAAAGAGTGCAAAGGCTTTTTTTAAAATGCTCTTTTTTTTTCTTCCTTTTTTTCTTTTATTATTTTTACTTCTTCTGTTGGACAGTTGTGTTTGCTTTTGTAAAGCATATACTCCTAAGTCTGAGAGGACAGAATGTCATTGAATTCCTTCATTTGTTCCTTTTACATTTTACACCTTTTCTTGTTGTTGCTAAAGGTTCATGTTTAACATCATTCCAACATTGCACCATATAGAGTTTATCCTAAGATAGACTTTTTCATGTGGACTCAGACTTAGAAATTTAATGACTGGGATAAGACTTTTAAACTTGACTTTCTTCTTATAGAAAGCATTGCACATTTAGTATGACTAAGAGATTGGGGCCTGTAACTTGCAACAGGATTTGAAGCAGATGCAGAACTGATTCTGTCTTGTTCTTTAGTTACTTAAAATGACTTTCTGCATTAGAAGTCTCTGACTGCTTCACCTGAATGATTTCAGGCCTGTGAGATTTAAATATTCATTCCCTCATTCCCACCCCCGTGTGTGTGTGTCTGTGTGTGTGTGTGTGTGTGTGTGTGTGTGTGTGCTTATGCAGGTGTCTCACACACACTTACACACTTAAAGATCATTGGAAAAATCTAATACATGTAAAAAGTAAATGCTTCTTAATAATCTTAAAATCTAAACCTTTTTTATCACTTTAAAAAATCTAAAATCTACTTCTTAAAAAATTTACATGCATGAATTACATACAAGTTTTGACTATAACTTTCTTCTAACGTTAACCAGTATCTTGCTCCAGGTAGAAAATTACACTAACCGTGTACTTCTGTGGGGGAAAAAAAAGTTTGATTTCTCTCGCAGTAAGAGCTCTTCTGGACCCATCAGCCCACTGGACACGGGTTCCCAGTTCCAGTGCAACACGAGTTGCACTGACTTTTTACACTGACAGTAGCACTCTTCTAGAGGACAACCTGGACCGGAAGTCACACTTTTGGCCTTGATTTTAGTCCATGACTCACTGTGAGACTAGTACATTGTGCTTCATCATAACTTTTTATCCTTTTCTTTTTAAGTGCTTTGGACAAAAGAGATGGTCCCTTATTATCAGTATTGAAAATAGAGCAAGAATATGGCCAGTGTGCAGGGTAGACACCCCCCCCGTGCTCACAGCAGAGACCTCGTTTCTATTCTGTTCTTCATTTGCTTTGACTTACAAACTGGGCAATGGCATATGAGTGTGTGTAGTATGTGTGTGGTGTATCTGTGTGTGTCTGTATGTATGTATCTGTATATATGTGTGTATCTCTGTGCGTGTATATCTTTGTGTGTGCTTGCACTTGGGAAAAGGAGGACAGTGTCCTTGTGCTTTGGGGGAGTCACCTGTAGTTTCCCAAGGTTTTCAGAAATAACTGTTGAATTTTACTCTGTCCTTTTTAAGTTGTTCAACAGTTGAGACCTATAAAATCTATTATTTGGAGGAAAGAATTTTCAGATTTTTGTCTAAAACTAATTCCAAACAATGATTGTGCTTACAAAGCACACTCGATGCCCAGAAAAGCCATTTGCAGTGGTCTTAATTATGTCAAGCTACATTCATCCAAACCACAACCAAGATTTTTCTATGGAGTCCCCTTCAAATTAGAGCATGGAGTCTAGATATGGATGAGGTGGATCTCACCAGCACTAACACTACTCTAAAATCTTACTTTTTCCTGAGAAAATGAAAAGATTTATAGTGCTCTCTCAAGAGCTTATAAAATCTCCAAGCAACACCTGCAAAATAGTATTCAGGTTCTCAGTCTCTTTCTCCTTCTTCTGTCTCCCATACCTTCCTCCTCCCCTCACGTCTTCTCCTCTCCTCCTTTTTTCTTCCCTTACCATGATTTTATGTGGTTTGTCTTTGCTTTGGCCCACTTAACATGGTTGAGATTTTGTCATTCTCCATAGGTAAATTCTTGGCCTGTGGGTTACTGATCTGCAGATCTAGAAGGTTTTTCTCCCCCAACCATAATAGCATTTTTCCCCGAGGAAGTGCTATAATGAAATAATGAGTAAAACCCATTTGGAAATGTAAAGCACCTTATAAATTCCATGTACTAGTGAGGGCATTTGTCTTGTGCCCTTTTTCCTTAAGGGTAAAACTCACATGGCAAAGCTGTGTATTGAGAGTTTCATATACCTTCTGTGTGTGAAAGTTCAAAGACAGGTGGGCACCTCCTAAGAGCCGTCATCCATGGCATAAACCGAGGGATGTGTGCAGCAGTTTCCCATGTACAAACTGCTCCCTCTCCCAGCTGAATTCAGTGCTGTCTTAAACAAGCCAGAAGCCAGGCTTTCCTGGGGTGATGGAGTTGTGGCTTGGGAGTTGTAGCTGGAGAGATGAGGCAAGTTTGCAGTGTGAGTTTTCAGCCGTCTCTCATTTCAGGGCCTGCGCTTCTTCACTGCTTTCTAATCTCTCCTCCCCCTTGTTGCAGGGTGAAGTGGCTGCATTTTCTTGGGCAGCCCTACATGGCAAATTCAGGTCTCTGCTCACAACAGAACCCAGGGAAGATTTGTGACAGATGGGGCTAAGTCACAAACTTGCAGCCTAAGGCAGAATCTGAAGAACTTTCCAGAGTGTGCCCATATTTACCTGATCAGAGAGAAAAGAAAATCTGCAGAGGAAGCCGAGCCTGGCTGCTTGTCATAGCTGACACAGAGCCATCTGCCACAAACCTGTGGCGGCTTCAGATCTCCAATCCCTGCCACCACCCCAACTCAAATTAAATACAGATTCCTAGAGACGTTATGATGGTTACACATGTCCTCGGCATCACATGTAGGAGACTGTTCAAAAAAAATATGTGGCCTGTTGTATAACCGCACTCATGTATCCCATATGTGGTGCCACATTGAATTTCCGGTTGAATCCGTTTTTATCCTTTGTACTGGATGACATGGTGCCTGAATTCTTTCTTTCTGCCGACGCGATGGCAGCCAAACTGCAGCTTCAAACACTCACATTTGGCTGAGTTTCTACCTGGGTTGCCAGGTTATCATCGGAGCCTTCTTGTGTCCTCAAAGGGCCACAGGGCCTAGAAAGAGGATCAGAATGCTCCTGAACTAATTGGGCAGCCATCTCAAAGCTGCTGTAGGCAAAGGGCTGCTTTAGCACTTTTCTTTTAGCAAATTAATGACTCTCTGGCACAGGAATTTTTAAGTGAAGGTATTAATAAGGGGTCTGGCAGGTATTCCCATGATTCACAGAGTTTCATTTGCATTTAATTAATCTTAAAGAAACTTGCAAGATAAACAGCTGTAATGCAGACAAACATGGCAGATACAGTGAGTGAAGGCCTCTCATCCATAAAATGAGCACGAGGTACTTGTTCTACATTTTCTTCTTAGGGGTAAAAATAGAGAAATCAAAATGCTTCTGACAAAGCCATAATTTGGTACAAATATTCTTCAAAAATATTTGCGTCCAACTACAAATACACTCTTTCTGAGCTACGTCACTTATGACTCTTGTACTCATGCTGCTCTGTTTGTTGGCGTAAAGATATTTTAAATGGCTGGATTGTAAAATAAATTTTTAATAAACTACCCGCTGTAATTTTAATTAGCATATTCATTTGTGTTTAAGTGTGTGCACCTATCTGTTTCTTACTGAATGTTGCCTTGTGTCAGAGAAGACAGAATACAATTGTCTCTTGTAAGGATGAACAAGGATCTGAGTTGCAAATGTTTGTTACATATTATGACATTTCCAAGACTTTCTTTGCATTCTGGAAAGCAGGAGGTAAACATTTGTAGTCATTAAGGTAAAGTCTGTTGATAAACCATCTTCTGTTTACTAACAGGTAAATTGTAACTTCCTTGGCTATTGAAATGGAAAACTTCTATGTAATGCAGAGTGAAGAGAGGTGACTAGACCAGGGCCAACCCTGGGTCTCTGTTCTCTAGAGGAGCTGGGTGGTCTAGCAAGCATCCAAGATGGAGCAGATGGTAGCACTAAAGTCCTACAGAGTCCTTGTGATAGGGATCAAAATAGAAATCAGAAAAGCAGTCAGGGTTAGGGAGCCACGCACAGTCCTCAGGTTAAAGGCAGTCATGTAGATCAGTGAACTAGGAACAAAATCCCTGAGAGCTGGGGATTTCAAAGCAGGAAATGAAAGCAGCAGGGAAAAAATGAGCTGTCTGTGGGTAGACTCATGCCCATCTACTATGAGAACCACAGCATGTGGGGCCACTATGCCACTGGCTTCTTGTCCTCGCCTATGAGGAAGCCACTAGACAAAGATACCCCACCCCATTCGTAAAATAAAGGGCTCAGAAGCCCTTAGAAGTCCCGCCTTGTCTTAATCTTTGGGATACGGAATCTAGCAGGGATGGCTCATGTGAGAGCAAAACGGAAAATATCATTGTAAATAAGAAGCTCATAGATACATCTCTTGAGCAAGGTTTTACTTTATACCCTCTAATGAAATGATGTAGTCAGAAAGATACTTTTCACAGGTGGCCAAGAAGGAATATTTGGTTTCTCTGGTTTTCCTGTGGTTCTTTTTTGCTGGTTAATAGGAAGAAATTGAATCTCTTCAGAGAGTATGTCCCAAATATTTAAATACCTTCCTCCCCTTTTTTTTTTTTTTTCAAATAAGGTCTGCCATTCCCGGGGTTCATCTCAGACTCACTATGTAGCCCAGTGTGATCTTGGGCCCCCCGTCCTTCTGCCTCAGCCTCCAAGTATTAGGATTGCAGGCATCCACCACTGCAGCTTGTGTGATGCCAGGCAGTTGGAACCCAGAGCTTTGGCAATGCGAGGCAAACTCCACCAATCAAACTACATCCCTAACCCCATTTTCCTGATTGGCGGCAACTGTGATAATGATACTGCACATAGCCTGTACATGGAATTTTCCCTTCACTCAAATTCAAATCAACTTTTGCTTTTAGTTGTGCTCATCATTCCCCACAGGATACAGATTTACATTACAGTTGCCACTTAGGAAAAGCGGTACACTCACATTCAGTATTGGTGCATCTAAGTAATAAAAAGTTCGGTTGATGCACAGTTCTGAACATTGTTAAAGGCACATCTGTATCTCTGTGTGTGCATGTACTTCTCAATAGCTATGACATGGTGAGTGCGGTGCTAAGAAGTTAGCCAGCACTTGAAGTCAGTGGATAACTGGGAATAGAGTTGACTCATTATTATGTTAGAAGAGAGGCTAAATAATCCCCATAGTTCCTGGTTTTAGTATGTTGTTTTTGTTTGTTTGTTTGTTTTGAAACGTTTGGTCTTTTATAGGTACTTTTAATTTTTTGATTTTTATTTTAAATAGCTTTAAAGTCTAGCCATTATCAAATATGATACAGTGTCTAGGGTACTTGCAGTCTGTCTACATACTCTCTGTTTCTCTTAACAGGTAATAGAATATGTAGCTCTTAACCTCATCAGTATGCCAGTATTGACAGGATAAATCAAAAGACTGTTTTCTGTTTGGCAGGCATCTTTCAAATGCAATTAAGCTGAATGTCCTGCTCTTATTCGCGGGTCTTCAGGCATATCACATAGAGGGGACAGCAGAACCCATAATGAAATGGAGACTCTCAGCTGTAGAAGGCCACATGGATTAATTCCAGCACCTTGAAATGCATCTGGAAGCAAAGACTTCATTTTAGTTGAAAGTGTTAATTATATTTGATATTTTTAAAAGTAAAATCTGTTTTTGAGAAAGCATCTGCTACCCAGAAATATCATGAGCCACAAAAAAGATTTCATCGAAGCCCTAAGATACTTTCCATGGGTGATGGAATCAGTCTTCAGATGTTTCCCCGATGTCCTTTCATGCTGACATGGTCTGTGGTTTTCACTCTTCTTCAGGATCTTAACAAGCCTCACCTTAAGTGCCTCTCACTCCGGGAGAACGCCGGAGTGCTTGTCATCAGCTGTTATATTAACAATGAAGAGAGCGGAGAGAGTATATTATAAACACCACCATAGATGTGTTGCATCTTAAGCCATGAATTGAGATATAGGCCATCTTCCCTTAAAGCTTTCATTAAGGTGCAACTGAGACAGTTTTTAAACAAGCAGTTCTACCCGCTGCTCAGAGAAGGTAAATATGTGGTTAAAATATTGCACAAAACGACAAGAATTAGCACCAACTTTACAACTGCCCCTTCGGAATTCTGGTGGAAAGGGGACAAACCTGCAGTAGAGGCTCATTCCCTCTGTAACTAACAACCTCCTCTGCATGGGTAGTTCATTGGCTCAGAAAGGCTTATTATTACTTTTGCTTTCTGCCCCTTTATGTGTCTTAAATGTTATTGTTGTTATTATGGGGTGTGCCTTCTGACTGGAGTTATAATTCATTTCCACTGGGAAACTCCTGCCCACCAGCTTTAACCGTCTTTGACTTCCTGAGTCTGAAAACCATTATTTTCCCACAGAAAGTGATCAAAACTGCTCAAACTTCTTATTAGGTGTGAGAAGATGTCCCTCTCCTTTCCGGAAGCCTAGGACTTCATTTTAACCTAGACACAAATCATATTATGGACAAAGTCAGACTTCGCTATCCATGGGTTCCCTAGACTAAATTTTGTCTTGAACATGCAGTGATCCTAGCAGGCTGTTCCACTGCTGTCCCACCCGGAAACTCTGAGTTGATGGCTTCAAGGGGTAATCTGTAGCGCTTCTTGGACTCCCTATCGCTTACTGTGTTGAAACACATACTGTAGAGTGATCCATGTCACTCCTACAGGGAAAGCGTACTTGTGTGATGTGGGGTGGGGTGGGAGGAATGGAGTCATTTGTATTTGAAGTTTTAATGTTCACAGTATCAATTCACAATTGAGAAAAATTAAACCATACCAGCATATTTAGTAACCAGAATACGTTAGAGTTACAAAAAGACAAAGAATTTGATCTTTAAGGAAGCATCAAGTTCAAATTGCATTACTCACTTGGACCCCTAATTTGATTTCTCTTGCCTCCAGACAAAAGGCCACATGGGTGATGCTAAGAAGCACATAAGAGACCATGAAGTGCCGCCAATATTTTATGAGTTTTTATGATTGCTTTTATCTTTAAGGGGGCATTGAATGTACACGGTGTCTGTCACAGTCTCCACCATTCTCTGTTCTTACATTTGCTGGATTCATCTGTGTGGTTCTCTTGTCAAGAATTTGTCTATATGTCCTCTCAGTTTAATTTGCACGTGGGAAACTGTGGCCCTAAGGGGACACTGCCCTGCTTTAGGTCCTGTGGAGGCAGAGTCATATCTGGGACTCAGATGTTCCCAAGCTCTTTCTTGAGGTTCCATTTGATTCCATTGGTCAAATCCTACAAAGAAGGGGAAGTAGAAAATGTGTGTCTTCATCTGTTGGCTTGCTGTTTTCTCCTGCCTCTGGCTATCAGAGGAGCATGGAGTTGCTAGTATCTTCGCTACAGACATATTCCCGCTTCTTCTGACCATGCATGCATTCTAAATGAACCAAAGGAGAGCAATGCAAAAGCAATGATTTCGGGTGCTGGAGCCTCCCAGTGGGACCGGTAATATTTCTGAACCGACTCTCCTCTGTTGTCTTTAAAATCTACAAGGATGAAGTTGCTCATCCCCAAGCTGTGAAAGGTGCCCCCTCATTCTCTCGGAGGGCCAGGGCTGACAAGGAACGCTGATACTGTGGCACATTAGTTGTACAGTGCCGAGCCTGCTTCCTCTCACCCCAGTAGATAACCCAGAAACAACATCCTGGGACGTATTTCCCCAGGAAGAAAAAGAACGGAGGAGTAACTTTAAAAGAAGCTGCTTCTGATATGGTATTAGACTCTAATTCATAGGGAAATTTCTGCCTGAGATATGAATTTCTGAAAATAGAGGGTTTTTTAAATGAAAACACTGACACATCCTTAATTATAGAGTAATAAATACCAATGGCATATTATCTTCTGATATTTCCTTACACAGATATCAAAGCATGCAGCTGTTTTTGAAAACTGATAATCAAGTACAATGTAAGTCTATTACATCTTGTTCTTACAGCCCACCCCTACCAAGCAGCACTATGGAGGGCTGAACAGCGAGAGGCAGAGCCGATGCTAGCAGAAACCTAACTGAACAAATTAGCTTTGAATTGTAACTTAAGAATCGCAGTCAAACCAAAATGCCTGCCCTTGCCAGGAAAGGCATTCCAAAGAGCATGCCAAGAAAAAAGCTGTTGCTTCAGGATTATGGAGCAGTTCTGAAAAGACCGAAGAACTTAGTGATCAGTTAGGAAATGCGAGTAGTAGCTATACAGCCGGAGGATGCGTAAAACTTAGAGAGCGTCAGTAGTGGGGTGGGGAAGCAGAGCAAGGTTTGAGCAGAAAGTACTAAGTTCCTTGCTCCATGTTTTCCTCCCTTCAGTCCAGGCAGCAGAGAGCGGGAATCATGGTCAGAGAAAAGTACGTGGAGAAATGTGGGGGTAGAAGAGGAAATGAAGGTTAAACAAGGCCAGTATGATTCAGAATGAGAGGGAGGGAGGAAGTATAAGGAGCCAGCCACAATTACTAACGTTACATTAAGAAGAGCTGAAATTGAGAGGGGGAGTTCTGCGTATCTCACTAAGTGGATTAAT